GTTTCACTAGCAATTCCCATATAAAATTAAAAAAATTAAAATCAACGCGCATTACCACCGTTAACTTGGAAGGTTTAGAAAAAACAATTGTCGAATATTTTCCCAACATTGACTGTGAGGATGGCTTCAGCTGGATAACAAACCCGTTTTTATGTGGCCCGAAAAGTGAACCTACTGACATGACCAATTAAGCTTTTGAAAACCTTCTGGACATCAATGAAGACAGCACTTTGATTATTAAATACTACGAAGGGCGCCAAGAGAGTTCTGGATGCAAGTGTATGCAGAAGACACTGCTGTTGGCAAGATTGCATTAAAAATACTAGTGACTTTTAGGCCCTTATTATGAGTTGCATTCGATCGAAAGTGAAATTTTGAGCTATGCAACCGTGTCGAAATTTTCGTTGAGTATCGAATTTTCTGTCGAACAGAATTTTGCTTTCGATGGTGTAGCGAAGTGTTAGAAAATTGTTAAAAATGTATGATTTTGCATTTGTTTTTTTACTTTATGGCAGCTAGACTAGTGTCTAAAAAACTTTTATTAATTTCATGCAGTTCTAACGTCGTGAGTATTAAACAGAAGCTCGAAAGGCTTGTTTTACTTGTGAAAGATAATCCCAATACGCAGTTTTCACGATCTCTGAGAAAAAAATCTTAAGCTGTTGATAGTTTTAAAATATTTTACATATATTTGGCTCACAAACGCCTCTTTAGACAGTCGGAAGTTTTTAATAAACAAATTTCTTAAATATATTTTATGTCAAAATATATTCGAAAGACTACACTTAAACCCTCTTAAACATTTTCTACTCCTGCCCAGTTTACCAAACTCTCTCCTCTGACGAATCGTTGAACCAGAACTCCGTTGTACTCATTTTTACCACGTTTTTATAAACTCTTTCTTGTTTCTTTTTTATTCTTTCTTTTTCTTTTTTATATCATTTTAATTTTGGCTAAATTACGGTCTGGATACTGTAGCCGCCTCAACAGCTACCTGTCCAGACTCGACCCCAATATCCCCAATGAGTGCCCGGCATGTGGAGAATCCCCCCACGACACCAACCACCTCTTTACATGCCAGCTCAATCCGACTCAGCTAACACACCTCTCCCTCTGGTCCGAACCCATTGAAACAGCTCGTTTCCTGGGCCTCCCGTTAGTTGAGCTTGACGAAAATGATTGAACGTTGACCCGAAAAACGCGGGGCTTAGTAGTGCCGCTACAACAACAACAACAACAACAACAACAACATGAGCGCTTTCCCATAATTTGCTTGCAGCGCATTCATTTGAGTTTGGATTAGAGAAATATTTTTCATTGGGGACCCATAAAAGGACACCTAAATATACTCTGAGCTGTTTATCGTCTAAATCGCTAAAAAAAATAACTGAAATTGGCAGAATAAAGTCCCAATATAATACACTAATCAACACTAAGTCTGAAAACTTAAACAGGCCAATCGTTATGGACTTGAGTCTTTTCTGTAAGCATTTTTTTTTTTGAAATTTCGACAATAGCTATTTGAGTTGAAAAACAATATTTGTTGCATCCGAAAGTATAGCTGTTTATTTTTACCGCATCAGTTCGCATTTCGTTCCGCATACGTTATTGGTTACACCTAGATCTAAAGTGAGCTAACTCAAAATTCAGAGAGGGAAATATAATTGCTTGTGGATCGTACAGATTGAACACAATTAATACAAAAGCAGGTATAACAGTAGTTTTTTTGTTAATGTATATAATCATGAAGAAAAAATTATTCGCATTAATTGGATGTAAGTCCTATCATTTGATTTATGCAAAAAAAAAATCTACATAATTTTTTTTTTAGTTGATCGCACTTTAGATCTAGGTGTGCGATATATTAAGTAAGAAATCTAAAAAGTAAATTTGTAGAGGGGTATCTAAATATCTTGATTCCAGCGCCATCTATCGGTACAATTTTTTGCAAAAGTGTATTTTATGACGCAGAGAATCCGACGTCGTTCGGGATAAACAAATAAAAATATAAAACAGTAAGAGAGATTTTCAGTTTACCATAAATTAAAGGAGACATAAACAATTTTTCTTATTTCATTTAAGGCCTCCTTATAAACAATACTTTAATTTTTTGTTGCGGTGTAGAAGCATAAATACTATTCGGACATCCCACTCGTGAGCATCCGACATATAATCATATGCCAAAGCAAAGTATCAGAGAATACTGAAGACTTTTAAATTAAAATGGAAGGTATGTGGGAATAAATAGGACTCCTGACAGAAACACATATTCTCCCTTGCCGCATCCAGTAATAATTCTGCAATTATATTGGTTTTCACTTTCTTTGCTACATTATTAAGGTTAGGTAGATCAAGGTACCGAAAGAAAAATGAAATGCCTTTAAGATGTTCCACGCCCCCTTTAACAAACTTATTTATAAATATGGATACTATAGTTTAAACATCTGTCATAGATCTGTCTTCACACCAAATTTCAAAGTCATGTGACTTACGGTTCCGAAGTTATTGCTAATTAAAAGTTTTACGCCTATGGGATGTGCCACGCCCCTTGTACAAACTCATTCATATATACCTTACTATAAGCGTCTACTATGGATATGTCTTCATACCAAATTTCAAATTCATGTGAGTTATGATTCCGAAGTTATGGCTGATTAAAAATTTCACAACTATAGGATGTGCTACGCCCCTTTTACAAAAGTATATCCACTTTACAATAAGCATCTACCATAGATATATATGTCAACACAATAAACTTCAAAGTCAAATTTGATCCCAAGAACCTTAAGTTACCCTTGTTCAATGATTTTAAAAAGAATGCAAAATTTTTTTTCTACAAATGCCGGTTTCTGGATAAACCACGTACTCTACAGAAAGCCTAGGGTGACCCGAAGATGCTGACTTCAGATTCGGATTCAGCAGACCCAAAAGCTTTAGAAACCATTGAAAAGCCCCGGGGGATTTTTGAAATCTTAAATTTTGTTGTACTGTATAATTTATTAAGAAAACACAGAATTTGCGGTTAGTCGCATATTATACATGTTTATAGTGCATATTTTTTAAATTTGAGTGCATATTATATGCGCATATTTTAGATTTTTTAGTGCATGAGATTCCGAGCCCTAATTATAAGTAATATGAAATGAAATTATACTTGTTGTGCTAGTGTCTTTTCAAATAAATATTTAAGTACAAATTTGTACCAACAAAATACAAGTACAAACTCTCGCGATACTTATATCCAAAGGAAACATATATATTATATAAAAGTTTTTGGTGAAAAGGAGAAAATTATAAAATTTGGTCGCTGTATTCTGATCATCATCTGACATCAGATTCGAAATCAGCGACAGCGTTCCTACGACAGTCGGGTCTACGAAACCGGAACGACCCAGATTTATATCTGGCCAAGGACTGTCACTCTAGCAACACTCCCTAAAAACTCTTTGGGGAATTAGCTTGCTGTTACAACAACAAGAACAACAACAACGCCGCATTTATATGAGTTTTGTGGTGAAAAGGAAAAAATTATAAAATTTGGTCTCCATATTGGATCCACTATTTTAAATTCTAAAAATCTGAGATCGGATTCGAGATCAGCGACCTCGAAACCCCCCGTATATAAAAGTTTTTGGTGAAAAGGGAAAAAAAAATTTGGATCCGCCATTTGGAATCTAAAAAATCTGACATCATATTCGAAATCAGCGACCACAAAACCCCCAAACACCAAATTTCAGATCAATTTGGTTACTTCTGGACTTTTGGCCAGCAAATAGTAGTAGTATGTATTTAATGTATAAGCGAAAATTGTTTTGTTACTTCAAATCGTAAAGTGCAAATCAGCACTTTGGTTTACTTTATGCAAATGAATTATTTTGTATGTTGTTAATTTTGTCACACTATCGAATTGCATTAATACTACTCAATGTTGCTAAAACTATAATCAGCACTTATTTTGTATTTAAGTCCGTAAATTTCCAATAAAGTTAGAGGAACTGTAAACGCCGAAATTGTGAAGTTCATGCCTTGCCTTTTCCGTTGGTAACCAAGTTCCAAGTGGTTGAGGTACAATACGTAAAATTGTCCTGGTGCCAGTGCCTTGACAAACCTATTAATAAATTTCAATTAATTGATAAATCAATAAGCTTTGTCTTGGTGAATCACCTGGATAACAACCGGCCACCGCATAAACTCAGATACTCTATACAAAATTCCGAAAAAAAAACATATAAAAAACAGTGAGGCAATATTATAAAAATACCCAAAAGTAATACATAATTACCTTTCAAAAAGCAAAGAGTTAAACTTTAAATTTAATTTTATAAAAATTCTGCGCCATTTTCCGTTGCACCTTGACCTACTTAAAACCCCCGTCGCAATGAAGCCAACGGAAACACAAGTTAGAGAAAGCGTTCACTCTTGTATGTGTACAATAGACTGACCATAAAAAAAAATTAAAGTTCTGTTTTTTTGACGCTCTTGAGCTTTTAGCTCCCATTATGGCTAAAAAATATCCCCTGTAAATTTGGTGCAAAAATAATAACCTTTAGAGCAGTGATGGGCACACTAATACTATCACATTTTCGACAAAAGCTGCGCGCTGTGCAGCGTGGAAACAACGCAACAGGCCTCGGCAACAGCTTATGCGAGACTGATTCATTGATTGAATTTCGTTTTTTTGTTCGGCAATATAATGTGTGAGCATATACGTGTGAAAGGCGTACAGTTGAGCTGTACGCGTGATATGAAATGCCCACTACTGATTTAGAGGTCTCGCCTGAACGTTTTGTGCCTCCGCCTCAAGTGCTTAAAATTGCTCTTCATTCAATCCGTGCACGAAATCCATTACGAAATTGAAGTTTTTTAAGGTCTCACAATATGTTTTCAAGGTCGGTGAACACGTTGGGCGAGACTATTTTTCGATCTGACCCTTACATTTTCAGATATTACAAAAATGTAGATATGTATTATATGATATATGTATGTACATAAATACTTACCTCCGCATTCTTCGATGGCCATTGCATATGGATTTGGACGAGCAGCAAATTTTTCTCCGGCCTTCAGAATATTTTCAAGTGCGTTTAAAGCCACTTGAACGATGTCTGAATCAACGACCGTCAGGAAGTCGCACATTGGTGGAATGCAGCCTACGTGAACCTTTAAAAATTATGCAATAATTAGGGATTACATTTATTTGCAGACACAACATAATAGATACGATCGTAGAATACTTATTTACTTAGTCACAAATTCTCAACAGACGAAAAGGTGCAGAAGCAGCAGTCACTGGAGCCGGAAAAGACGAAGCCGTCGCCTGAGCTGCCAAAAGCTCAAGACAGCGTGTCATCGCCTACGCGACTCACAGCAACATTCTGCCGGCAGCAGGTGCTAGACAGAGCCCAACAAAATGTCAGGCCCATTGAGCCTCCTCGGAATATAATAAAGGCACCATTGCATGGCAGTTCCAAAGCGGCTATTGAAAGCCGCAAAATCGAAGGGGGTGCTAAGGAAGAAGGTGGCTGCTCGCACCCGCAAAGACTGCCAGTAATGACATCTCTCCCTAAGCCATATATGTAATACTTCTATATTGCTAGTACATTCAAAGTACATTCCCCAACATCAGAGTGCCGAAATATTGAAAAAAGAAAGAGAGATCCGATAAGAGAATGTACTCAAAATGACAAATTTTTGAAAATTCAGGAGCGGCTTCACAAATTCTTAGTTAAAAACAATTCATATGAAAAATTAACAAAAAATTCAATTTTTGTAAATTTATGAGAAACGCTGCGGCCGTTGGTGGTGGCACAGGATAAAAAGACCAGTTGGAGAAGGACTTAGCATCAGTTGGCATTTCCAATAGGCGTCAATTAGCATAGAATGGAATCGAATAGCGTGCTTTATTGAATTCGGCCAACGTATAAAATACTACACCGCTTTATGTGTAAACAAGGTTTGTCTGGGTTAGGAAAAGATCTTCTATCTTCCAATTTTTCGGATTTCCAAATAACGAAGAGCATCGGAGAAAGTCGACATATCGAGCCCTAACCGCTAAAGTAATGTATATATTTTATTTTTTAATTACCTTTGATGCAGGTGATCTAAGAGCATTTATGAATCAAAATTAAATTTTGAAAAAAGTTCGCTTACTTTATTTTCGCGTCCAGGGCTCGATATACATTGCAGCTTGAAGTAAACATGAGACCCTCAAATTTGTGTTTGTTTTTTGAATTCCCTGAACCGCCCCTGTTATGATATGGCACTTCATTCTATGTAGTAGTTTACAAATATACACGTATACTTCTACAATCACAAAAATTTTCATATGCTGTCTTTCTTTGATTTCGAATTGAAAACTCATTGTGGTCATATTGTACTAGCAATATAGAAATATTACATATATGCCCTAAGCCCAACGCCAACTCGAGGCATCTGAAATGCCTTCAAGTGAATCCTCCTCATGCCAAAACAGCGCCAAAAGTTTCATGCAGGAGGTTCACTAACTAAGGGCTAAGTATAGCCTTCATCCAGGAACCCTGGATACTACGTGGCGAGGTGAAAGATCTAAACATCAATGATGGTAAGATCATAATGCCACCAGACCTCGCCCAAGGGCGGCGATGCTATTAAGCAAAAAACTAACGTTTCTTCCTCTTTTACAGTTCATGATGGGGGAATCTGGTTGCGGTTTGGGCCAAAATTCCCTCTCCAAGGGGTATACAAGAGGCAGTACTTGCCTCAGCGTACTTTCCAGGTGAAGAGGAGAGGGCCCCGACAGCAGAAGTATATACTTTGTTGAGCACTGCCGGCAGAGTGAAAGCCCTGCATCCTCTGCTGGACGCCGATTCGCATAACACTGTTTGGGGTTGCACAGATACCAACAAAAGCGTTGAGTACGGCCTCGAGTTTATTAGTAGTTATAATATTAATATTATTCAGCCTCATTGCGTAAGTCGTAAATTAGGCTAAACTGTACGACTCGACAACATTGGCATTGTCCACTGTCGTGCTGAAATAAGCAAACGAAGGAAATTGTCGAAAACAAGTGCAGTGCTGCCAAATTTTTCCGTTTAAATACACCAGACGAGTCGAAATTTTAGGCAATGACATGAAATTTTCGATACGATTCGACTCTCGAAGTCGTCGCAAGTCGTTGCATTCGACACGACTCTTGCAATGAGGCTGATTAAACGTGGTAGTGAACCGACTTTTAGAAACGCTTTAAGGGGGAGGTCGTGGACCTAACTCTATTCAGCCAAAACATGTCATTATCTGTCACAAACTGGCGTATCTCGGGGGATTTCGATATGGATCTCTTCTGAACAGGAAGTAGTTCTGAGATATCCCAGGAAAAACAACTGGGAGCTCTTCCGCTTTACTATAGAAGAGGGCGAAAACAGCCCCAAAACCCAATTATAACTAAACAGGAGCTTGATAATGAAGCTGAGCAGCTTCACTCTGATATTGTAATAGATTTCAACAGTAGTTGTCACCAAGGAAAGGTAAGATCCAAACGAGATGTGCCTTGGTGGAGTAAGAAGCTTGATTAAATGAGATAACAGGCCAGAAAACTCTTCAATAGGGCAAAAACTGCGGGTGATTGGAATCCGTATAAACTTGCGCTAACTTCCTACAACAATCAGTTTAGGAAATCCAAACTAGCTAGCTGGCGAAACCACTGTGAGGAAATTAATAGCCTCCCAGAGGCAGTACGCCTCCAAGAAAAGACAGCAGTAAAGCTAAGTTCATCAGAATTATTTGTTTAAGAGGAAGAGAAGTGCACGAACGCGGCCTCAATCAACCGATATTTAAAGGATAATTCGAATCCTCTAAAGCTACCGCGTGCACTGTAAGAAAAAGTTAATACTTGTAAGGTTTTTTTTTTATAAGGATAATTCCAATCCTCTAGAGCTACCGCGTGCACTGTAAGCAAAAGTTAATACTTTTAAGGTTTTTCTTTTATTATCGTTTTGTGTTCATTTTCAAAGCATATTGAGGACTTCCAAGATAAGCTGTAGTATAATTATATAATAAACAGATGAACAACTTCGTTCAACTTCAATACCTCCGCTCATAAAAGCTTGCGCACCTTTTCGATTTTTCGCAGAAGGAAGTGCCACAGCAATGACTTCAATTTGGAAAACTTGGTGTGGTTAGAGGTTCTTCAGTTGATAAAGGAAAAAATTTTCAATTAGTGTTCGCTTTTGTTTCGCCAAAAGGGTGTACTCCACGGTAACTAAAATTTCAAGTTATTGTTTTGTTATTTTCACCATATTCTGTAACAGCAAACTGCATTGCAAAATGTTAATATCGTTCAAATTATTAAAAAGTAAAATATATGACACACTTTTCCATTTTCGCTCCTAAATACGCTCCAAAAACATTCCCAGCAACCACAAAAATGTAGTCGCCTGTATACACACTTTGTAGCAACTGCAGTTGTCAGTTGAAAGTTGCCAATTGCCATCTGTAATACCGTTTTGGCAACTATAAGCACAACTGAAGTTCGATTGCTATCGATAATCGACCTATTAGATACATACCCCTCGTCCTCTCTAAACTCTATAGGGCTTCGCTCTTGCTGGGTTACATTCCTAGCAGATGGTCTGAGGTTAAGGTCGTGTTTCCACGCAAAATGGGTAAGCCGGAAATTACCGTCATCTTACCGACCACTTAGCTTCAGCACCATTCTCCTAAAAGGCATGGCAAAATACTGGAGAAGTCAACCTACGGAAACGCCCTGTAAACAAAAACCAGTTTGCCTATCAACCAGGCAAATCTACGGAGACTGCATTCTTTGCCTCCCTGCAAAAATTTAGAAAGCTCTGGATATTTCAGTGGCTTTTGATAACACGTCACATAAAGCAATAAAAGATGCCTTCTTAAGCACAGATGTAAACCCAATAATAACCTAGTGCGCCTCTTGTTTTCACCAGCGGTGAGTAAGGGTCAGAGTTCGGCAGTGAATAGCTCAGCTTATGAATATGCTCACATACTCATGAATCACCCCATTGTTCACACAAACTTGCGCTCACTAAAAAATGTTACTCTCTCACAATTGCCTGGCTTGCCTGTAAACTAGTGAGCATGAATATCTTACACAATCGCTGATCGCTTCCACCTTGGCTTGGCTTGCTTCTCTTTATGCAATTGTTTGAGAGATTCATTGTATACCGCTAGATGAGTTAAGTAGCTCATACACTCCGTTGCATAATTATAAATCCAGTACAATAGTCTTTGAAACAGCCGTCACAATCAAGATAGGTAAAAACTTTCTTCTATGACTTTTGCATGGTAAGAGCTCTATTAAAATAGAGTGGTTAATTTTTTTATAATCATAACCTTATTTAAAAGATTTAAACAAATCTAAAAATTACTTGTTGCAAAACTATAAATCCAAAAAACGAAATCCCAATAACATGAGTAAAACATGCAAATATGTCCTTCTAATACCCTATTTGTGCTCCATTGACTTTAATTAACTGAAATATATGCTTCCTCATACTTAGACATAATGTCTTCGGTAAAGCAGCATCCAGTTTATGCCACTCTTGCAAAATCGTCAATTTAAGCCATGTAACGTTTTCAAATTGGCGATTATCGGCATCAACTTTCTTTGCCAGTATTCTCTACACATTTTCCATTGGATTGAGGTCAAGAGAGCACAAGGATCCGAATATTGTTGGTTTCCGTCACAATTTGCCAGAAGTTAACAGCAAAATGTTCAGATCCCGTTGGTGATCGAACAATTTGGACGGCCTTAAAACGTTACTAGCACCTCGAGTATGGTGAAATTATCACGGCTCCGCGTCTTTTGCTACATCCTAAAGCTGCTCGAAAGGATTTCGCTAGTAAAAGCATGGCAATTGACAGAATTCTCTAAGCTGTTAAAATGGTTATTTTACCTTAAAATTCACTATTAAGAATTAGGCTTAGGTTATCTTTTCAGGCGAAAAGAAGTTCAATCTGGATGGTACAAATGTATTGAATGGATAATAGAACGATTTACGGCAAGAACGATGCATTTTTTACCGGCGGAATTTCGGTCGCGGAAATGTGATTTTGTAGGGTGCAATAACATCCGATTGTACCCTTGAGTTGCAATACTGCTCAAATAAAATGAAGAATTTAGACTATATTCCCATACTGCCGAGCAGTCTCAAACCAGTTATTGAGTGCAATGA